ACATGACAGCTATACCCTCATGCAACAGACATCCAAGCTGTCCGTCCTGTCCTGTCCACCCCGCTCCAAAACCTTCAATCTCATTGATCTCGGGCATTCAGACTCTCAACCTCGACCCGGAGGAGAGTGTCCCATTAGCGCGGGCTTCATCCTTCCGCCACGCAAGCCTGGACGGTAATGCCACTGGACCGGGGGTCCCGTCGAGCACAGACACCACTTCTTGACTAGCAGGGAAGAGAGAAACGCCTAGGTTAGCAACGTGACAAACATGCCATACACATTGTCTGAGCGCGCAAAACCCCTCCTCCCCCTGCTGTGTGTGAGTTTCAGTCCGACTTATCGCCAGCCGACCGTGTTTCCCCTCTTTCTTTTCTTCCTCAATGGGAAACGTTGAGCGTCGCGGTCCGCGAATGTGGGGTGTGCAGCTATAGCAGCCCTCCGTTAAGATGGCCGTACAGGATGGCTTCGATCCGTCCCCTCCGCACTGCAATATCACGACATACAGCTCTTCCCTCTCTCTCGCACTTTGACTGGGTCCGAACCGCCCTATCCTCGAGCTAGTCATTTGACAAGAGCACAGCCTTTGCGGGGTACAGACACCCCGGAGCACATCATATACGCAACAGTGTGGCCCCTGGTCTGCCAACTCATGCTCTCTGCCTGCGTCTAGTCGCTTACCCTCAGTCGCGACAACGCCATTACGGGAGTCTATACCATACTATGGCCAATTATACAAGTATCCACAGGTATATGGGCACCCTTGGCGCTTCTTCACCCTGTCATGGCTTAACAGCCACCATGCTATTGTCAACATGACCATCGGAATTTCTCATTTGAACAAGCAGGCAAGTCGCCTGTCACAAAGATCATTCAGCACTCGTTCTTTTCTTCCAGAACGGCGCAGGAGGTGATCTCCGTCTCATGGGGTACGCCATTCAATCCCAGTGTGCACGCTACATCAGGCTACCAAGCCAGACAACACATTGAACTTCAAACCACGGACGCAGCAAAGGTGCAGCAAACCTTCTTCCTAGGCCTCTTGGCAGTCTCTGGCCAATGCTTACAAACCTTCAACCAACCAACCAACCCGACCCGTAAGCACATATCGGTATAGACGCCTCCACCGTGACTTTCCCAACCTGCCGTCTGGGTCCATCCCGAAGTCCACTTCCCAAACGTTGTATGTTTCTCCTTGCCACAGCCACCTCTCCTTCCCCGCCTCGTGAAGTAGTCCTATTCAGATAGAGCATCAGCTCGTGCAGGGGCTCGCCACTGATATGAGACAATACAAACGCCCTACGTTTACGACAGTACAACGCCTCCACAATGTGAATGTATCCCTACCCGCTGATCGAGTGGTGGCGATGGACCACGGGCGACCCTTCCAAACGCCGCCCCTTGATGCGCCTACCCGCCGTCCAGATGTCAATAGAACCAGTAGAACCCCCTCCGAGATGGACAATCCCGACAATCCTTGAGCAAGCCAGACCGCTCTGTAGAACAAGAGAGGTAAATCATTTTTGAGCGGCAAAAGGAGTACATGTTGTACCATCTAGAATTAGAAGAAGAGATCCTCGAGTACATCCATATACATCGATGCCCTAGAAGACAGACAGACCAAAGAGGCGAATCCCATCACTTTTTTTAAAATAGATTCACCCCTGTAAGCCACTCAGTACAGTAACCCTCGCCGCCTCCGCCTCTACCTTCCATTATATTCTTTCAAACTAGCCAGTTACTCTAGCCTAGTAGTATACCAAACCCAACCAGCCTGAGGCAAAAACAATCCCTTCGCCCCTCTGCCTCTACTGCACACCCACACCCACACAATCTCCTAAATCAGTCATGACACTCACCTCTCCTGATATCACCCTACACAGCTTTGTTTACATTCTTCAGCTAGATAGACATCATACTTGGAGCTGTTGATATCATCCTCTGCACCATCGATATCATTCCCCCCCTCCCCCTCTCCCTCGCCCCAGAAAACAAAGTTATGCTGTGGCGCTCACCTCGCCTCGCCTCGCCTCGCTTCGTTTCGTTTCGAACCTTCCAGATATTCCGTTCTTCTCAGTGTGTGTGTGTGTGTGGGTGTGGGTGCACAGTAAAATGTCTTCACATCCTGCGAGATGATGCAAGTCCCGTGGCGCTGGCTGCGGTCTGGACGCGCGGGATATGCAGTGGGCAGAGGGCGAGAATCCAAAAGCATATGTCCTGTGAGTCGTGATAGTACAGTGGGACTGGGACCGGGACTGGGACTGGGACTGGACACTAGGTAAGGTTCGTAGAGCAGCGTACAGTAGTGCTCACTTGGGCTTGGGGTTCCCCTTCCCCTTCCCCTTCCGGGCGGGTTGGTTCTGTCGCTGTTCGCAAGATGCTAGGGTGCGAGACATCGACATCGACATCGACATCGACACAGAGAAGAGAGATTGAAGCAGAAGTGAAAAGCAAGTGCCGCTCAGCTGTTGGGGCGGTCTGCCCTGCAGTAAGTTAACTTATTGGACTTTGTTTCTTCTTGGGGGGAAGGGGGGGAGGGGCGAGGGGCGAGGAGGAGCGGGGGATGAAAAGTTAGACACATGCACCATGACCACCACCACCACCACCACCAACCGTCACTGTCACTTACTGTCTTCGGGTCCGGTCTCGTTGGGAGTGCGATTTTTTG